AAGTTCTGGGGTCTGTGTCCTGTATCCACAAAGTGCTGGCAGTAATCGTTGTGTGGATTTAAGCTCTGAGTGCCCTGGAGAACAGAGGGAGTTCAGTAAAGAGCAACGGGCAGATAACTGCACACACACACACACTCTCTCTCTCTACACATGCCAGTTTGATAAATGAGAAAATAACAGATTATTTTCCTTTCAATATGCCTTTGTAAGTTACACTACTCAAGACCATCATTTTAGTTCCAAATCAGGCCCACCTTTACTGCAGCTCATTGTGATTGGACTCATACCTTTAGCCAGGATCAACAATGTAACAGTAGTTCCAGTCACACCTTCCACAGGAAACTTCCCCACCTGTGAATTCTAGTCCATTACTTCAGCTTTTAAAGCTGTATAAGAAATACCATCAACTGCAGAGACAGTGTAGCCCAACTATGCCAGCTCTGATTACAGTTAAAATTGCAAAAGCAGCTCACCTTAAGAAAGGTACTGGAATCTTTGTAAATCTCTTCTTCATAGGGCAGGTTCTCTTCATCTTGCTGCAGCTCTACTTCATCCTTGGAAATAAAGCAGGTATTACCAGTGTGCAAGATCACGCTCCTTTCCTTACAAAGCACAATCATAATGAGAAGTGGGCTGTCTACAAACAGACATTTCCTAAAACAGCACATCATGAATGGTTTCAGCTCCAGTTCTGGAAGGGAAAAAAACATTACCTATTCTCAAAAAGATCTGCACCTCTCTCAGTAATGAGGTGGAAAGGCCCCTGAAAAAAGAATAAAATAAGAGCCCCATCATTTCTAGCCCCTGACAGTGCAGCCAGTGCTTAAGAAAGTGTAGGATTTTTAATTTTTGTCCCCCAAAACTTTCACTACTTGAACTGAAACAAATAATGCATTTTGTTGATAGTCTTCTGTATTAGAACTTTTGAGCATTCATATCCACTCAATTGTCTCTTACGTTCCAACCCTGGCAGCAAAGTCCACAGTTTGCAGAAACAGCTCATGGTACAAGTCAGTATTTCATTTTGACTTTCCTTAAAAGTAACTTTAAAAATTCCATCTTCTAGCCCCAAAATTTACAGAAAACAGATTTTTTTTTTTTTTTTTTTCAATTCCCCCCCCCCCCATTGGTGAGTTCATTCAACAGATTTCTGGAGTTCAGAGATCTGTTACACTGATGTACTCTGAACATCCAACAGAGAACTCAGAGAGAACAGAAACAAAAGAGAGACTCAATTCTTCACATCACCGTCTGTTTTCCCACTTATCTTGAACCAGTGCAGTATGCAGACACATAAAATATATAAATACAACTGAAGAACTACTAAATAATATCATCTCCCATATTACTAAAGCTGCATTTACCCTGTGCTACACAAGCTGAATGCAGAATCAAAAGGTAAGTCTTTTCCCTCTTTATTTTGATCCCTCTAACTGTTAAGATCTTATCATGATCTTTCTGTTATTTCAAAATTGGAGCTTTGAATCAAATTCTGAAATGTCTGCTGTGATAAACACGTCAGATTCTCTTTCCTCAATATTCCTGTGAAGAATTTACAGAGATACACTCATTTAATTTGTTTAACTAGACCAAAAATATTATTATCAGAAACAGCAACACTGCTTGCAAGGAAGAGAAATTAAAGCAGACAAGAAGCAGAAGTCTTATTCAGGCCAAAAAAAAAAAAAAAAAAAAAAAA